ATGTTATTAGCATTAGATTAAATTATAGAAGTTTATGCTCATATCCGAACAATATAAAAAAAGAATCCCCTTATCACTTCACATGGTCTAAGGTACTGTAGTTATCTCTTCTAGAAAACCTTGTTCACTCACATTATGGAGACCACTATTAGGGAGTGTTTTACAAAACTTAAAAAAGTGTTTTTTAAATTTTAGCTTAAAAGAAAATTAAAAAAGTGTTTTCAATTACCTACTTTTGCTTAAATTAAGCACTTTAAAGCCAAAAGCTAGAAGTAAGTGTAGCAACTTCTAATTGCTTCCAGGTATTTTGGTAAATAGTTTGAACTTGAAGGATAATTATATTGAGTAATTAATTCTTTTAAATTCAGAATACCCTTCTCCCTCCCACCTTCTGTGGTACGTGTCTGGGATTCCCTACTACATTCCGTGCAACTTACACGGCGAGAAAGTGAGCACCACAAAGATGACAAGGATAGCTTAATGTGCACATTCTTGTTACCTAAAAAAGAGATCATGTCGATATTTAATATATTTGACAACTAAGATCTTTTTCCTATTTTACCAAAAATGTGTTAACCTTTTTAATTGGAAATGATACCCAAAGTAAGTATAGGGGGAAAACCTTTGTTTTTTAACTAATTTGCTTTGATCATAAACACGAGCTCAAAGGAGATGTTTTGTGTTTTGAAAGATTTTTCACTAGTATTATTGAATGGCTAATTGCTTGTTTTACACAACTTTGAAAAGAATTGGAATTGGGTGGAAGATAAAGACAGAGATTGGTTCAGGAGGTAATGTCACTTTTGTATTTTAACAACATTGCACTAAAAATCATTTTTTTTTTATCGAATACTCAAAAATTAACCTTTTCATCTAAAACACTTTTATTCTCAAACACTATCTACTTTTGCTAATAAGCATTTTCTCAAAAAGCACTAAATAAAATCACTTTTTATAAGTAAAAGCAAACGTATACACTCCCTTAGTCATATAAGCGGGAGCAGCTCTTGTATGTGTGTCTGGGGGGTGGGGGAGAGGAGAATCCATCGATGCGCAGTGGAAAAGCCCTTGATCTGGCTTGCAGAGGAGTCGTCGATTAAAGGCAATAATGGAATGGAAATCACGTATGTTTTTAAACAGGAGTAATATGGTCCTATTAGGGGGAAAACACACCTGCTTCTATTTAATAATTTCATCCTTATTTTACTCACATATGAGGCAATTACTATATTTAATTTTCAATACAAGAAAACAAGAATATAATTCCTTATAATTAAATCAACAATCATTCCCTTAAGTGAACTACTGACAAGACATGCAACTAGTCTTTAACTTGAAATAGAACAATATCTAATCAAGGAGAAAACTAGTGGAGGAGATTTGGTTTGTCTTCAACACACGACCATCTATTAGGGCATGATTGTTGCTTCACACCTTGAATAATTCTGCCCGACTATGCATATTCCTTTGAAATTTGAGATGACATTTAAACTGTGTGATTTAAATACATGTCGGTGATAATTCACACACTCAGATCAGATACACGAATGTGCCTAAGGCCATGTATTTTAATTTTAAGCACTTTCATGGTCCAATTATGCCAAGGAAATGTTGGCTATACTTTATGCAATGAGACTCTGGAGGATCTATCTGGTTGGCCGTAAATTCTACATACTCAAACCAAAGAAGCTTAAAACACTTGCTTGATCAGCGTGTTGGTACACCGGATCAACAAAAGTGGGTCGCCAAGCTCTTGGACTATGATTATGAAATCCGGTACCGTTCGGGGACCTCAAACCAAGTGGTTGATGCACTCTACCACTGTCCCCAAGAGGATACTTCCACCGTGCCCACTTTATCCAGTGTCAAGGCTGATATTTGAAGCCAAATTCAGGATGAGCAGATTCGTTTGCCGCATTTTCAGCGCCTACGTGATAATATCGAGAACAACACCACACCCCATTTCACAGATGGTCAGGGCCTTGTTCGATTCAAGGGTCGTATTGTTCTATCGCCGGAGTCGACCTTTATCCTGACACTCTTGTTTGAATTTCATAGCACACCTCTGGGTGGCCATTCTGGGGTTCTACGCACGCACCTTTAAACGCCTCTCACAGGGTTTTTATTGGCCACACATGTATCACTCGGTGGAAAATTTTGTTGCTTCCTGTGACGTTGGCCAACGCACCAAGTCCTCTTCCTTAGGTCTGGCTGGACTCCTTCAGCCCCTACCTATACCAGATCAAGTATGGGATGATCTCTCCATGGATTTTATTGATGCTCATTTGTTAAAACTCGATCTCTCGATGGAGACCACTTCTCAAGCATTAGTTTGGGTATTTTTTTAAACAAGGTTTTTACTTTGACAAATTTGTACATACTAATAATGCACACTTAAAATACAAGTTTGTAAAAGTTTATTTTTAGCTTATTCGCCTTGATCATAAATGTGTGGATGTTTCTAGATTTTTACACTTCATAGTGTTTTTTTACTCGAGGGGGGTCTGGAGGGAGCCTGGAGTAATCAGGGCTGAAACTCACTCCATTGAGTTTCCAACCCTTGTGTGCCTAGCGGGATTCAAACACGAGACCTCCCACTAGGTACGGTAACCTCACAACCAGCTGGGCTGGAATGCTTGGTTGTTACACTTCATAGCTTAATGTGCACATTCTTGTTATCTCACAGAGAGATCATATCGATATTCAATATATGTGACCACAATCCATGGATTTTATTGATGGTCTCCCACAATCTTATGGAAAGACAACGATTCTCGTGGTGGTTGACCGTTTAAGGAAATATGCTCATTTCTTGCCCTTACGTCACCCATACTCTGCACGTTATGTGGCTATTGCATTCGTAGATGGAGTGGTTAAGTTACACGGACTTCCCAAATCCATTGTGTCTGATAGAGATCCTATGTTCACGAGTCATTTCTGGCAGGCCTTGTTCACTGATTTGGGCACAACTCAAAATGTCCACTGCTGATCATCCCCAAAGTGATGGGCAATCAGAGATGATCAATCGTTGCGTGGAACAATATAGTGTTTCGTTCATCCTCAGTCGCGACAATGGGTCATATTTCTGCCGTGGGCTGAATTGTGGTGTACCTACATATCACATCTCTACCGGTATGACTCCGTTTCAAGCTCTTTGTGGACGTCTGCCACCAACCATACAATGTTATTCACCCGGTTCGACTCCTGTCAATGAGGTTGATCAGTGCCTTATGGGACGCGATAGTTTTTTGGATCAGTTGAAAACCACGCTTGCAGCATCTATTTAACGCATGAAACAGTATGCTAACCAAGGATCCGAGAGGTTACCTTTGACGTGGGTGCTATGGTTTACCTTCGTCTTCAGCCATACTGACAACACTCTCTCTACCGGCGAGCATCCCACAAGCTGAGTGCTTTGCTTTATGGTCCCTTCCGTGTTACTGCTCGCATTGGGCAGGTTGCCTACCGCCTAGATTTGCCTCCGGGAGCCAAGATTCATCGGTTCATCCTGTATTTCATGTCTCTCTTTTTCGGAAACAGATTGGCAACAGCCTTGTGTCTCCCACACTCCCTGATACTATTGACGAAAGCATTCCTTCACCTCATCCAGCAAGAGTGTTGGACTTCTGGACTGTCGTCCATGGCAATGCTCCCTCTGCCCAGGTGACGATTCAGTGGCATGTGTTACCTGCAGATGATGCAACTTGGGAAGACTTGGAGCTCATAAAGTGCCAATTTCTCAGTATTGACCTTGGGGACAACGTTAGCCCTAGAGAGGGGAGGTATTGATAAGCATATGAATGCACACACTGCAGTTAGGAGGAGTGTTCGCAGGGGTAGCGCAACCCCAAATATTTCTTAGATCAGATTGCAGTGCATGCTTTAAGGATGTTTTCTTTTGGACTGAAATTTGCTGGTCTGGTCTGATCTGGTTTGGTAAACGTCTGGACTCGATGTATTTTATAACTACGGAAGTATGGTCTGGTCTGATCTGGTCTGGTTTGGTCTGGTCTTGTCTGGGACTGAAAACAATCCAAAAGAAAACATCCTAAGTACTTGGATGGAGTCCCAATTGGATTAGAGCTCGTTATGTGCCTTTTTATCAATATTGGAGTTTCTATTTAGCATCGTTATTTCCTAAATTATACTCCGTAGCTAAGTGTTAGCCGCATGGGTAGTTAGTTTTTATGGCCTGGTGGCGTGAAATTAGGAGCAATTATTTCCCGTTACTTGGAATGAAAAAGACAGACTTTTGCTTCGGCCACATTATTCCTCTACTTTCTTTCTGGTAAACAGAGTTCTGGGAATTTACTCCGTATCATATAGATCTACCCGTTATTCTATTACTCATTTACTCTAAAGTCTAAACTACTCCGTATTATTTAAACAGAGTGGAATGCAAGTTTTTTTTTAAATTTGATTGCGTGCATTGCACGGGTAAATCTAGTGCCCTTGAATATAAGATATGAGATCATTCATTTACATAATAAATACCCTTAAATTTGCGCTCATCAAAACCCGTCGTACACTTGATGGCATTGTGAAATGCTCTGTGGCATTTCCCTCATGAGCTGGATACATGTGGGTTGTATTGTATCTTCTCCGATGTTTGAATGAACACTTTTTGAAAATTGCAAGTGCCGGCATGGACCCGGTCTAGTTCAAGTTGTTTCATGTGCTAACCGCAACCTAGCCCGTCAATAAATCTAATTTCAGATCAATTTATGCGTATTCATCAAGTCAATTCAATTTTTCCCTTCAACCCGGTACCAAGTACCATCAATATATTCACTCAACACATTTTTTAAAAATTAAATGCATAAACCTTCACTTTTTAAATACACATCATTTATGTGACACTTATTTTTACCAATAATTATGATTTAAAAAGTCAAACATTCCGACGTAAAAAAAATTAAAAATTTCAATTACTTTTTTTGGAAGTAAAAGTGGTATATTGAAATAAAGATAAAAGTGGTGTTTATGTATAAATTTTGGTCCAATATTTGAAAAATATTAATCAAAAAATAAAATTAATTATTTCATCCATTGGATGTAATTTTCAGTCATTGGATTTAAGTACAATAATTTTTTTGAGCGCCAATGATTTCTTGCAGTTGGATCTTGCTACAAAAGTTCTTTTTTTAATAAGCCTAGCTGCACAAAGCAAACAGGATGGAGGAAGATTAATCGCTACACAGCCTACACCTACACTCACCCACAAATTGCCCACGAAGATGCACACGCATACCATGTCCACAAAATAGCCCCTTTGCATGTCACATGTCAGGCGCGTTACCAGCCGCTGGAGCCTAGATTGCATCAATCAGCAGCCAAGCAATGGGGCCGGGGTGGATTGGCTGGCTAAATCTCCCTCCCCAATGTTTCACTAAATCACTCTCAGACCTTGCTATAGGAAAATTGACTTGGGTTGCATCCAATTTTGGGGTGAAAACTTCCCATTTGCCTTTCCCCCCCTTCCCATTGCTATCAGCCTTATCGATCAATTCTTCTTCTTCTTCTTGTGCCAGACCTCACCCGGAAGCTCAAACACCTGGAAGAATCCATGACCAAAGTGCTGTTACAGTTTACCCTTTTGCCAGAAGGTACATCAAGGAACTAAGGAAGACCACTTGGTCGATTGCTGCGACCAGGGAGCTCTGCTTGCAGTGGTGGAAGCTGACATTGACCTGCATCAAATTACCGAAGTAGAGGTCAACCAGCTTAACAATCTGTCACCGCTCAAGATTGGCAAAGCCGATGAAGAAAAGGATCCCATACTGGCAGTCCAAGTCACCAGATGCCGTGGCATTTTTTGTATATCTGTTTTAGTGCATTTTTAACATATTCAGGTCCATACAAGAAACATTGGCTAGATTTCCAAAACGAAGCAGTTCTATGAAATTCCAGAAAAGTAATACATATGATCCACAAATACTACATAAACACTACTCTGGGACAATAACATTCTGCAAAATCATAGATTTCTATGAAAACAAATTAAGTACAATCTTACAATGTGCTGTTCCAGCTGGAAACCCAATTAGCAAGGGTCTCAACATTCCTGGCAATATCCTCAATGGAGTTATTCGTTAATGCAAACACAATTTCCTCTCTATAACTCTCTTTTGCCTCCTCCAGTAACACTTGGAAAATTTCACATTCTATGTTATTTGAAAGTTTTGCATCTGAGTAACCCCTGCACCACCATTAAAATAGTTGAGGAAAAATGTATCGAGATAGGTAAGGGTGAGAATGAAAGAGAATAATAAGAATAAGAGCATGTTTGGTACCATAATATGGACTACTCTAAGCAAAATAACAAGAATAACAGCATTAAGTAGTTTTCTATTTACTTATTCGGCTGAAATCGTTTTACCAAATGCTTTTCTTTTAGAAAATTCATCATATTTGGCCACATAAGCTGAAAAACCCTCACCCATCATATTTTAAGTGCCCATTTGGTAAGCATATATTTTGAATTTCTAGTTTTTTATTTCGCACACCGAATTTGTTAATAATTAAAAAGTACAACCAAAGGTATTTTTTAAGTTTAATTGGCTAAAGCGCTTTATGTTAGCTTTACATATAATCCTTTCTGCACTTTATGTTCAAATTTGTTTTATTTTCTTTTTCAAGGGATTGAGCTAATTCATTCAAAACTTTTCCAACTTCAAGGGATTTGACAATTCAGTTCATTTTAGTCTTACCTAATGGGCTCTAAGTAACTTTTGACTTATTTGAATTTAAACTACTTCTGCCAAAGCTTTTCCTTCTAGGAAATTCAATAGATCTAGTCACTTCAACCAATGCATTACACCTTTTCAAAAATTCATCAGATGTAGTCTCTTCAACCAAATAATCATTAGAAAAGCCATTAATGTGTTACCTCTGTTTCAAGCGATCAAACAAAAAAGAATTCTCAGTTTGAAGAACAACAACACGATCAAACCAACGTTCTGGAAAGAAGTCACATCCGTGATAATCAATAATATTTCCGCCTTGTTCCATCATATCCTCAAGTTCATCACACACCTAGAAGAGAAGCCATTAACAATTAGACTTAAAAGAGGAAAATTGTTCAAAACTGCTCAATGAGACAAAAAACTCTCATTTTCACCTGGGAAAAACTCTTTTTTATCCTATACTCCGTATTTCTATTTTCCATCTGTCCCATCAGCTCAAATTTTGTAAATTTCCAACAACTAAAACTGAGTTCAACCCTTGAAGCATTGAGAAGGTTTGATTGGTTTTCAAATCTAGCAAGAGTAAGGAATTAGATATGAAGCATCATACCAAATTTATTTTTTAATGTCAAAACTCGTAACCAAATTAACAACTAAATGGCTACACTAATTAATGGATTGTTCTCATATTTCTAATACGCAGTATCGTCTTTCTTCTTCTATTCAAAATTCGGGTGCAAATGCAAAATAATACTAGTATTTTGTACAAGTACAAAAATGGACCTTTACTCTTCCAAGATACAAGAAATAAACGAAGTGTTAATTGAAAAGACCTGTAAGCAAGAGCAGGAAAACGTTATCATTAATGTGTAAGCCTTACAAGGTCTTCGTTGATGATGAAACAGTCGAGCTCATCGTCCCAGCCGTCGTGCAAGTTCTTCACTTTGACTAGATCGCCAATGTTTATGTGGCGAAGCTGAGCCGCGTCCGCGAGAGCAGACGCCGTCGTCGTCTTCCCCGTGCCCGGCGTTCCCGTTATTAGTATATTCGGCCTCAGTCGTCGGCGGCTGCTGCTGTTTGGGGCCATAATTGCTCCAATGGTACGCCTGGCAGATGTGTCGAAGATGTGTGAAAGTTTTTTATTTTGATTTTGGTGGATAGAAGGTAGACCTGGATTGGTTCAGTTCTAATTTTTTATGGAATAAGTTGTACTCCGTACTATATAATCTGTATTAGGGGTGTTTGGAACTGATTCTGGTTTTGCTTCTTTTTTAAAAGAAGAATCAGAATCAGAATCAGTTTTCAGAAGCTGTTACACCCCAACTTCTAAAAAAACTGATTCTGAGAGTAAATTAGAGCTCCAGAAATGCTTCTGGAATTTCACCCAAACCCCTGAGGGAGCAGAATCAGTTTTGAGAATCAGATCCAAACACCCCTTTAATAAGAATGAATGTAAGCAAGATACAACCACACAATAAGAATGAGAGATTTTATCTGAAATAGGACTAAAAAGGTTTGAAAATTCCAAAATAGGACTGTCATGTTTTTACTCCCAAAATAAGACGTATTATTGTCATGTTTTGGCAGTACCAAACTTCAAACATGACAGTATTTTCTAAACTTGACAGTAATTACTCCTATTTTGGGAATAAAAAACATGTCAGTTCTATTTTGAAATTATCAAACTGTTTTAGTCCTATTTTGGGAACTTTCCCTAAGAATGAATGTAAACAGGATAAAACCTGCCACATAAAAAAACAATAACCAAATTCACTCATCCTAATTTGGGCTTACTTGAACCCATGAATGGCAAACTAGGCTCCCCATTAGTTGTCCTATTTTCAAGACTTTTGACTAAAATAAAAACAAAAACAAACAAAAAAAACACGATGTCCAAAGTAAAAACTGACATGAAGAAAAATCAGTCTAAAGTCAAATATAACTTCAATCTGCGAGAAGCACACGATCTTCACAGGTTTAGGCGGGTTTGAGTGCCCCAACTCGCCTCTTCCCTCTTTCTTGATCCATCCAGAGCCACAACGTGACAACGTCCGCCTCCTCTTCTGTTCTCCCGCTATTTATTCTTGCCTCATGCTTTGACACATCCCCTCCTTCCTGAGACTTACCCTTCGTGTGACTCTGGCCCTGTTCTTGTATTTCTTTGAGGTTCTTTTGCATCCCCGCTTGACCTCTTTCTACCCCACCCTCGTTCACCAGCCATTTATTACCCATGGAAGGACAAGGTCTCCCTCTCCCGCCCGCAACCATGGTCCAAAGGATTTCACAACTGCCTTATCCCCCTTTTCATACAGTAGCTCAGGGGGCAAAATTTTTCAACATGTCTTATGACTCCACAGGCAAAACAAAAGTTAGGAAGTTTCTCGTACTTGAAGTCTACCCAGTAACCTCCCCCCTGCTCTTTTTTAGGGTTGTTCCCGCCTTTGAAGGTTTCCTCAGATCCGGCATCACCCTAACCCTCGTATCGGCTTCCCACTTCTCGTCAAATTGTTTATCATCCCATGAAATAAATATGCCCAGGTGATTTCTAATTTTATGGGCATTACCCAAATTTGAATATCCATAGGGGATATTGTGTACTTGTACCCAAAATCAGTCGTATCTAGAGGTACCTTCAGAGGTATATCTCCCTGCTTAATGGCTTTTATTACTAACAGGTTATGATCAAATTATGTGGTAAAACGTAAATCAATACCTTTTCTCTCCGATCTCTTGAATCAGTACACCTTTGCCCGGACGCCACAAAGATGCCATCAGATCACGTAAGATTTGGAATGTTTACACTTTGTCCACGAGGATCGTAGTGACCACAAGAAAGGTGTCCATCGCTTTGTTTGCCGCTTCGAGGTCAAGCTCCACGTCTTCCTCATCGTCCAGCAGTAGTTCATCCTCTGGACGGCGCAAAACCATCTCGTCGTACTGATTGATCAATTTCTCCATGTTCCCTACACCCACCGCCGCCGAGGGCTCTCCATCCTCGTCATTGAGCGCTCCAATCAGCTGAAAAGAGTAGCTGCCGCTCTCCAGCGCATTCATCTGCGATGTTGCTTCTTGGTGCTGCTTCTTTTACCCTTCGAACGCTACCCGTGCCACACACTATCGGCGAAATACACAAGCCCTACGCAGAGGGAAGGCCGCGTCTACTATTTTTATTTCTTGGTTCAGTTCTAGTTAAAAAATCATGGAACCGTTTATAAAGCCGTTTCTAAATTCGGTTCGGTTCTTGCAAAAAAAATCTTCTAATCTTTGTAAAGTAAACTCTTTCTTTAATTTCTGCTACAAAAAACAAAACAGTTTAAACATATGATCTATGACATAATTAAAGTATGAATGTTCCAACATATCAAAAACATAAAATTTCAAACATAATAAACTCAAATTTAAGAAAACAAGACATTAAGCTCAGTTCATAAAAAGGGTAGACTCCATGTTATTCGGCATATGTCATTCTAAATGAACTTAGAAACTAATTGAGTGAATAAGAGACCAAGTTTTGTGACTAACAACATAATGAACTGATTAAGTTGACGAAGTACAAAAATGAAAAATATAAGAGTTAATTATTGGTTTATTTAATAAATTTGCGATTAAATGTCATTCGACTAATAAACTGATTCATGTATTTAAAGTAAAAACTATGTGTATCATACGCCTAAAGCATGGGTAAGGAAAATACTTACCCTCCAACTCTAAGTCACACATCATATATACCATTCATCTTTTGTAGGGCTAAAAATCTGTCAAAATAAAACTTAAAGTCTACATATAACCCTTTGCATAATTACAGTCAATGTTAATAAGTTATATTTTTATCCACTATTCTTAATTTTTTGTATATTAGGAATCATTACTCTACCAAGAGATCGAGTTTTTGAACAAGGGGTCAAAACCACTCGAAGATGAATTACTCTAACATTCGCCAAACATTTAACAAGCAAGAAATTACTTGAGAACTAACATATCCCAACAATGATCCTCGTATAAAGTAATCAAGGGAAAAAATTAAAACAAACATGGGTGAAAATAAAAGCTAGTGCACGTGGAAACATTCTCCCCATACGGAGCTAAAAATACACTTTAAACATGAATAATAGGAAGGGGACGATAGTTGATCGCTTGCTATTTGAATATGAGGTTTCGTTCGATGGCGTATGTACGCAGATGTCTCCGAATTAGAGGCTTAGAGTCTTGGCCATCAAACTGAGTAACATCATATTTCTTCAATATTGGACATATTACACTCCGGAGTAACATATTTATGATGATTGTTATCCTCCAGAAATTATAATCCTCAGAGTGTATGATATGCCCAAAACCTGTTTTTGATATTTAATTTAACATAATGAAACATTTGAAATAATTTAATACTTAAGAGCAACATTCGTTTTGTTTTTGATAAAGTTGTTGGTCGTATTTAACCTAGAGCGGTCAAAATGGGCCGAAACCCGCGGGCTGTCCCGTTTAAACTCATTTATTGGTGGCTTAGGGTTGAGAAATTCTGACTCGTTTAGTTCGCGGGTCAGCCCACACGGGTTGCGGGTTTAAGTGGGTTGGCCCACCGGGTTGCGGGTTGGCCCGCGGGCCAAAATACAAAAGTATAGTTTTGAATTTTATTATCTTAAATATTGTTCTTTTACTGCCATTTTTATTATAATTACAATTAAAAAATTACAACCATGACAAAACAATATTTATTTCTATAGTAAATATTCAAATGAAATGTTGAAAAGTATATTTTATGTGAAGTTCGATACAATATTTAACAATTAGTAGTCATTATTTACAAATAATCAATCAAATGGTTTATGTAGGTCTTTATTTTTATACAATGAGTCTTTTGGTTTATGTAGGTCTTTATTTTTATACAATGAGTCTTTTTGCCGCATACCCTCTTATAGGTTTCAAATTCTCGTATAACTAGTATTTAATTTTTTCAAGGGAAATTTCCCAGGATATGACTAAAACTCAATGAGTTTATCAAACTATGACCTAACTAGTTTTTAAACTTTTGTATGACCGAAAATTCAAATAAAAATTAAAATTTCGTTTATAATCAAAGGTTGAATGACAAAAATGCCCTTATTTTAAATATGTGCATTTTGCACTAATTTATCCAGTTAAAATTACTGCACTTTAAATTGTCGTTAATGCACGATATTAATGCACTATTTTACTGCACATCTGGTAATTACCACTGCACTTCCTCCAACATTAATTCTCTTCTCATTTACTTGAGGAATTCTTTTTTAGTTTATTTAGATTTAATAATAATATTATTTTACGTCTAATTAAGTATATTGCATTTCATGATGATATTACTGCTTTGTGTTACTGCAATACGAGTCATAATCACTACACAACAAAATTTCTCAATGCATTCATTCACTGCCTCGTACAAGATGCATGTATATTGCATTCGATTAACTGCACAAAACTTTTTTCAATGCTTTCGTTCACTGCCCATGTACAACACTATGTATTGATGTTCATTGTCAATGTTCATCACTATTTATTACCATACTCAATGCCATATTTACTGCCCATATTCACTGCCAATGTGTCTTACCCATGTCTAGCTAAAAACCCCAAATTCCAAAAATAAGAAGAAGAATGCAGTCACTCCGGGTTTCAAGTTTCAACAAACACTCTGCAAATAGAAGAACATGCAATTAATTATTTTAAATTGAAAATAAATAATCAAAACAAAAATCAAATTCAACTTATACGTTCCACAAATGGTGAAGGCCCTCCTCCAGACTTGCAGTGTCGAGAGCTCCAACATCCCAGATCTAAAATTGGTTGTACTTGAATATTATATTCAGAATCGAATTCTTAATCTGCTCACCCAGTAGTTGCCGCACCATGGACGTCGCTGCTTGCTGCCAAGGTCAATGTTGTTGGTTGACACACGGACTGGAGCTCCATCTCCCATCAAAGTCCGCCCTTCATATCGCTTCCAGTCATCGATTCAATGACAGAGGACGACGCATCAACGCCGGACGACGATTCGGCACACAGGTCGGGCGATTGTGCTATTAGGCGAGAGATTGATCTTTGGAAGGCGGCGGCTGTACTCCCAGGCTAGATTCTGTGGGCGGCGGCGGGGCTGGACGGCGGGCGGAGACTCGACGGGGGCGGCTACGTGGGTGGGTGGTGCAAGG